TTTTTTTTAAAGTCCTTTTTCATGTTAAACCCATAATCTGTACCCTAGTATCTAGAGTCTACTCGGCTGTAACAGGAAGTTCCACTCAAACGCATAACGCTACAAGCTTCTTGAAGCCTGGACCTATACCCACTGTCATTTCAGTAACTTGGTCAGCGATTGCCGAAGAGAGTTCTTGACCTTTGGGAGAGAGCTTACAGAATAACAAAGAGTGGATAGATTTAAATTCCTTTTGGAAAGTATCGCAGAAAGTGTCTGGTTTTGTGGTTTAAATACTGTAGCTGATAGAGGTATTATTGTTTCAAGTTTCGAATTCAAGCAATCTTACCTGTTGTGTGCATTTCAATGTCCCTCCGGACTCAGAGGCACCGTAGGAAAATACACTTATTGGCCTAGTAGGCATTTACCATTTACCATAGGCAAGTCATGGAGTGTTCTGGTGGCAGGCGCAGTGGTTACTTGGGCTCTAATCCGCGATGTCAGCAGTTCGAAACCACCAGCCACTCCTCAGGAGAAAGATGGGGTTTTCTACTCCCATGAACAGTTGCATTCTTGGAAACTCACAAAGACAGTTCTGCTGCGTCCTATAGATTGAGTCGGCATCAACTCCGTGAAAGTGTGTGTGTGTGTCTGTGTGTGTGTGTCTGTGTGTGTGTCTGTGTGTGTGAGTGTGCATTAGAAAACTTGGGTTCCAGCCCACTGACACCACTTGAGGTCAACAACCTTGCGGTCATTCATTCTCTCTGGTTCTTGGTTCCTCTTCTGGCCACCAAAAGGGTTGAGCCACATGTTTGGTTAAAACATTGTTTGCCCATATCTGCCCCATGTGGTCCAGTAACTGCAGAAGCAATCAAAGAATACCGTTCAATTCCAGTTCAATCCTCAGTTTATATTGCCAATAACTGTTTGTTACACTGTTTAAACTAAAAGGTGCTTTGATTTTCCGCCCCCTCTATTTTCAGAACACTTTTCTCCAGGAAACAGTGCGCAGAGAGTGTGAAGAGCGCTTTGAACTGACAGAGGCTTTGAGCCTTGCCAGGGAGCAGCTCCTGGCGCTTACGAAGCTCAATGGAAGATTACCACTGTCACCCTGTTCCCCCAGCCAGGGCAGCTTGCCTTCCCCTGCTGTAGCAGCCAGTAAGCATGGAGAGAAGAGCCTAGCAAGACCGAACTCTGAAAAAGGTATCAAAACCCCTTGCCTGCAACAAGTGGCAAAGCCCACCCTTTCCCCAGAGGGGCCCAAGAGAATGAGCAGCACCGCTCTGCCTCTTCTCCCTCACCCACATCCTCCTAGGGGCCGGGCATCTTCAGTGAGTGACACCCGACAAAGGCTGGTGGCCATTCTTCGAAGGAGGATGAGTCAGCAATGAGTGACCCCGCAGCAGGAGGCCAAGGCAGGTCCACACAGCCTGCAGTCTTCTGCAGAAAGCCATAGAACCCTTGTAACTGAGGAGGCCAAAGATCAAGTTATTGCCACAGATCAAGAATGGGGCTTGAAAGGCACCTCTATAGGTACTTTTAAAGAGAGACTTTTATGGTACTTTTAACAATTATTTATATATAGATATATGTATAATTGGGAGTTTAGATTTTCCTACAGGCCTTTGAAATTGCAACAAAGAATCAAGTTGTTGCTAACTAGCCCAGAGGGTGGACTCTACATTGTCTATGCATCTGCATTGCCTATGCTTGGATGTGCTCTATAAATATGCTCTTTTAGAGATCACAGCTAACTTTCGTCGCAGACAGGGTCTTTTAAATGCTCTTGCACCCTCGCAAGTAGATGCACTTCCACAATAGAAAAAGAAACAAAGGAAGAAAAGATTGTATTGGTTTTGTTGGTGTTTGTTCATTTGTTTGTTTAGCCACATAGGTTAAATAGTTATAATAAATATTCCAAATGAAGGAAAAATAAAGTACTTTAGTCCTTAATTAGATCATTTCCAACATGCTTAGTTCAACTATTGCCCAGTGGCGTGTTCAGCAGCAGCAACAGCAGCTTCTCTGTCCCACCTCGCAGTCAAATTCCTTCTCCAAGTCCTTGTCAGGCTCAAGCAGCAGGATTGACAGCTAGTCTTCAGGAAGGCAACGTCTTGGGAGTGGAGACCTTCCAGACTAGAAAAAGTGACTCTACTTCCTTTTTCATCCTATAAGATTCTTTTAGGAAACAAAGAGCTTGGCCATGAAAATATCACTGGATATCGATTTTGTACATGGGATGCTTTTTGATTATAGGCTTTGATTTGAACTTGTGACCTCCTGAATTCAAGTCAACTTAATAAAGGCCCAAAGAGTGGGGTTAGGATTCAAATTTTATTACCCTTGAAAATGGGCAACTGTTTGACATGAGTTCTATTTTCAGAGTGAACAGAGAAAAGGAAAAACCAGATCAGCTGTTTTGTAGCTAAAAGTCCAGGCCCTGCCCAATTCTCAAAACCCAGCTCTTTTCCTGACAGGACTGTTCGTCTGTTTTTGTTTCTCCATCTAATAAAAGTGTACTTTTCTTGTAAGACAGACTTTACTTAAATCCTCCATCTGACTGCATCACGGACATCCAGTCAGATTAAAATGTTACAAACACATACAATATGACACACAGAATCCTCTACTGTTTAGTGGCATTATTGATAAGAGAATCCACTTGGGAGGGAAAAATAATAAAGTTCTTAAGCCAAACCAAGTGTATCTCCAATCTTTCAAAGGATTGGTCTCATCTACCAGTAAAGGTTTTGACCTAAAACAACAAAATGACCATCTCACCCCCTTTATAAAACGATTCAACAGGTAGAAGACCTCATCTCCGTGGGGGTCAGTTTCTCAAGATGGGGAAGAGGGAGAAGACCAGCCAGTTGCTGCCATTCAACAGACACCCCTACAAGAAGTAATAAGAGCAAAGATTACTGGAAATCAAAGTCAAGATGGGGGAGCAGGGCATATACTTCTAGTGATGGATAAAGTGGGTGGAGCAACCTCCTAGCCAGAAAAAAAATGTTTAACAATACTTATATAGAACCCAAAGGGAGCTGATACCAAGGGCTCAAATAGAAAGTAAACGTTTAGAAAATATTGATGGCAACACGTACAAATATGCGTGATACAATGGATGTATGGATTGTTATAAGAGCTGTAAGCCCGCAATAAAATGATCTTTTAAAAATAAAAAAAAGCCCAAAGGGAGAACATGCCCAGTACTGTGCTTCTAGTTGAACACTTGTGACCTAGTTTCTGCCCATCCTTTGGCAACTGAGGTGTGTGCCGTAGATTACTGGATTTTAGACTCTGTCCTGTTGAAGTACATTGTGTTCTTCATAGGCCACACCAGAAGAATTTGATGTGGAAACTCCACTAAGTGAACTAGGCTTTACCTCAACCTCACCTGTGGCAGGTTTAATGAACCAAACTATTCCCTTGGACAAGGCTGAAACACCCTACTATGAGAAGGAACAGAGGACTGTGACCCCAAGGTTATGGAATTGGTGGTTGTTGGACTTTGCCTTGGATCTCTTGCTTTGAGGGTACCCAATGATTGGTGCTTGGGATTGCCACATGTTTACTATTTTAATGGCCTGCTTGCTTGCTTATGACATGTATCAGTCTAGTAGTTGGGGTTCTGCTTGGGGAATAAGTGTTATTAAAAGTTTGCCCCATCACCAACCAACCCATTATTTGTGTAAATAGTGTCCAGTCACTTAAGCTTTTAATCTGTACACGTCAACAATTCATGTATTGTAATCTGAAGCCAGCCTATACTTGTATAATTTCCTTTTCTCAATAGTGTCTTAAATTCTATACCAGTGGCTAAATTATTGACACTATAAATAGAATTATTTTATGCCTCAGCAGAATGATTTATAATGTTCTTTATCATAAAATGAAAATGATGTCTCTAAAGTATACCAGAGACATACCTAAAGACATACAAAAATATATGAAGAGATTTGGGGATCACATTTAATTCTAGCGCCAATCTAAGAACAATTCATTCTTGTGACATGGACAGTCGTAACAATCGTTCTTATGACATGCTTGATACTTGCCCTCATGAAGAAAGCACTGAAGATATCAGTGCTACAGCAAACGTGGCGAAGAAACCAAATGGTGCCCAGTGATCAGATAGAATAGGGTCTGGGGTCCTAAAGGCTTGTCTTCAAAGCAGTAGCCATCTAAATGAGGTGTCAACTAAGGCCATATGGAAGAAGGACACTAGCCTGTGTGATCCAAGGATTACAAATAATAAAATCCAAATCAGAAGGAAGAAATGGTAAGAGAGCGTAAGTTGTGAACACCTAGTGTGAAGAAGGCTGAGTGTGATACGAACAATGGAGGTTGGTGATAGGGCAAAACTTTCAATGACACTCATTCACCAAGGCCGAACCATGCCTACCAGACTAATATGTGACATTGCATTAGGTAAATCGGTGGCACAAGACCTCTTTACAGTATTGTAAAGCAAGGGTGTTACTTTGAAGACTAAGGTGTGCCTGACTGAAGCCATGGTATTTGCGATTGACTCATTTGCATGTGAAAGTCATACACTGAAGAAGAAAAATGAAAGAAAAATCGATGCATTTGAACTATGGTGCTGGAGAAGAATATTGAAAGTACCGTGGACTGCCAAAAGAACAAACAGGTCTGTCTTGGAAGAAGTACAACCAGAATGCTCCTTCGAGGCAAGGAGGAGGAGACTCGGTCTCACGTACTCTGACCATGTCCCTCGAGAAGGACATCAGGCTTGGTAAAGTGGAGGGGCTGCAAGACAGAAGAAGACCCTGGACAAGGTGGGTCAACACAGTACCTTCACCAATGGGCTCACATTTAAGAACAATTGTGAGGAGGGCGCAGGGTCGGGCGTCGTTTCCTTTTGTTGTGCACGGGCTCTGTATGAATCGGAACCACCTGGAAGGCACCTGGCAACAACGTGGGTGACAGGAGAAGCCCCAGATCCAATCGCAGCATCCCATGTGGATTAAGTCTCTGAACACAATCCAAGGATGTGAACAGCCTTGCTATCCGACAGAGCACATCCTAAAGCTGGTTATGGCAGAGGGAGTTAGGGGAAAACGTTAACACTTTCCCACTCGTGGGAGGGTGTGGGAAGGAGGGAAAAAAGAGAAACCTGATACCAAGGGCTCAGATAGAAAGTAAATGTTTAGGAAAATGATGATGGCACCACATGTACCAATATGCTTGATACAATTGATGGATCGATTGTTATCAGTGCTGTAAGAGCCCCCAATAAAATGATCTTTAAAAAATGTAACACTTTATCATTTGATCTCCTTTTTGACCGACTTTAAATTTGGTTCAGGTTTTAATACTTCCTGCTTCTCAACTGAGGTTGCCTTGTCATTGTTGTTGCTTTTTGTTTACTCACTTCTGCTTTTTGTGTTGTATGATTTTCTGTATATGAAACCCAGGATTGGCACATCTGTAGAGATAGTCCCTGGATGAATGGGCGGGGAGGATGGGGGAAATGGTGAGCTAACAAAATGAGAACAAGAAAGAAGACAATGTTCTGAAATTGGTTGTGGTGATAATTGCACTCTTCTTAACATGATTGAATAATTTTAAAAATTATATGTGAAGTGTATGCCAATAAAGTGACTTGTTTTAAAAATAATTGCCCTGCGAGGTCCGCTGCCTCCTCTGACTCGTTGGGTGCGCACGTCTTGTGTTTCACTTTGGGATGCTGCCTTTCATCTCCCTGGGACGAGTGGTCCCTGTAGTGGCCTCTGACAAGGGAGCACAGCATCCCGGAAGGATGCCTGCGCTGTATACGCCTGGCTGCAGGTGTACAACCTTCTCTTTACAGACACGGAGAAGGCCCAAAGAAGTAGCAGAGCTAAGGTCATAGTACTAGATGGGGATGGATCTAGAACCAGAGCCTCTGTCACGTGACCCCCATCTTTCTGCCTCGCGTCCCCACTGACCAGGGCGTCCCCCGCCGCCGCCTCCATCATCTCCGTCTATTCGACACGATATGTGGGGCCTTCACAAAATTTGTGGAGAAATTCTCTTTGGCCGTGAACTTTTTTTTGAGTTCCATCATATTGATTTTTCTTTAAATTCACAGGGTTTCTAAATTTAAATCGATGTGAAAATGAAATTTGACCCAAATAATTATCATCATCCTTATTATTTTGCCATTGTTCTTTGTCACTGAGTCGGTCTTGACTCATGGTGAACTGTGAGGGGGCTTCACAAAGCTCATGGGAAAATTCCATTATTTCCATAAAATTCGTGTTCACACAAACTCTTTGAAGCCCCCTCATATGTGTAACCCCACTAAGTGTTTTCCAGCCCTGTGCCATCTTCATGACGATTCGTGTTTGAGATCCTTGTTGAGGCTGTTATATCAATGTACCCAAAGAGCAATGACCACTCATGAGTTGTATTTGCTGCTTTGTTTCTAACGTACTTGTAAAATAAAGGCATATCTGTTCAAATAAGTGATGGTCATTGTTGCCCCGTCTAAAATCATCGAGTGTGAAGCCAGCTCTCTGTGCCACGCTTTGGGAGGGCTGCCTCCCCAGATGCCTTTCTCGCCGATCTGTTGTCGGCGTGGTTGAATTGCAAGCGCTCGTGGCATAAAGCGGATGGCAAAACTAGTGAAGGCATAAGAAGGTATTTCGCAGCACCTGTTTTTTGGATCAGGTTACAAATGCCTTTTCCACAGTCTTGAAATTTCCACCCTCTCTTGAGAAAATCGGGATAGAAAAGGTTATTGACTTTTTCCTAAATTATGAGTATATTTAAATCTGTAAAGAAAGTCATACATTAGCTTTTTTAAAATTAACATAAAGACTATCAGTACAAAACCTGGGTTCTGAGTTTCTTGTTACATTTTTGCATTACAATGAGTAATTCTAGACTGAATCACTATGACAGAAAAGTCATTCCATGAATGAACAGAATTGATATTTACATTTATTTCCTCCTAGTACATTTGAGTAGTGCAGGCTTTAAACTATGTGCTGGAACTCTGGTGGCACACTGGGGTACGAGTTAGGCTCCTAACAGCTAGGTCAGCAGTTCGAAACCACCAGCTGCTCTGCGGGAGAAATGCAGTGCTTTCTACTCCCAGAAAGAGTGACAGTCTCAGAAACCCACAGGGGCAGTTCTACCCTGTCCCTAGGGTGTCTATGAGTCCACATCAACTCCATGACAGTGAGTGAAAAGCTATGTGTTTGCTCAAGTGCAATGTAACCGAGAGGGATTACTGAGAGCCAAATGAAGGCCGAACATAGTAATGGGACCAAAGGAAAGTAAAAGGAAACAGAGGAAAGAACTACAAGGCAAAAGACAATTATAGCAGTACAAATATAGGCAGGTACATATGTAAATATGTTAATATATAACGATAGGGGTATGGGTCTATGTAAATATGTTTAAATGTTAAGTATTAAGGTAGCAAATGGACATTGGGTCTCTATTCAAGCACTTCCTAAATTCAAGAACACTTTGTTCTAATAACCTTCCCAACGTGATCACTGATCCCACTGATACCTCATGATTATACAGGCTGGTGTACTTCTTCCATGTGGGCTTCCCTGATAGATGGCCACTTATTTAACTTTAAGACCCCAGACGCTATATCTTTTGATAGCTGGACACCATCAGCTTTCTTCACCACATTTGCTTATGCATCCATTTTTTTCTTCAGCAATCAGGTATATAATAGATGCTGTATATATAAAAGATACTGAGTCTAACAATTTTAATGTCTCTAGAGATAGATTCTTTCTATTACCTCAGTAAAAGGCTTGACATGTGTCAAGAGAAAATAATATTGAAGAAAATATTTCTTTGAAATTTATAACAAGCTTTGTTTTACTATGTAAACTAGTATTTGTGGATAAAGGTGGGAAATGTAAATGGCTACCACAGTTTTCTGAAGCAATTTTTAAATGCCTAGTCAAATTACTATATTTATAGTTGGTCAGAACTGCTTAAAATTTATATTTCTGGCAATGAAACTGACTGGAAGACATTAGTATTTTTTAAAATGTAAGAT